CAGAAACCAGTTCAAACCTGTAACACAACAGTTCAGTGCACATAAACCACTTTCAAAATGGCTGAAACCTGGATGGATGTAGTATTAGATTATATTTAGGTTAAAACGGTTTATTGGACTTCTGTTTCAGATCCACTCCAGATTCAAATTAACTCAGTCCCCCAGCATCCCAGGATGCTTTACACGTCCCCTGCAAACCCCCCTCACGGGGTGGGCAAACTAGCTTTGGCCCAAGGTATCTGCTCCAGCCTAACAGAGAGGCATGCAGTGGCCCACCAGCTTCTGGCTTGGGCCACTGCAGGCATGTGGCTGTATTTCCAGAATCAAAAGTGAATGTCTGTTCACTTGCTTATTGGTTCAATCTATGCAGTTTAAACTAACCAGTGAAGATTGAATCAATTCAGCCTCAAGCTTTTTTGACTGATGCTACTTAGCCTGGGAGATTCATAGATTCATAGACTGTAAGGCTGAAAGGGACCTCAGAAGATCATCGGGTCCAGCTCCCCGCACCAGGCAGGAAAGACAACTGGGGTCAGGTGACCCCATCAAGGTAACTGTCCAGTCTCCTCTTGAAAGTTTCCAGGGTAGGCAATTACACCACCTCTGGAGAGAGCTTATTCCACAGTCTGGACACCTGTTGAGCCTGAAATGGTCTTCCAGGAGTTTGTGGCAATTACTCCTAGTTTTCCTCCTGGGTGTATTTGATGTACTCCCCTGATGTAGTGGTAAGCTGCTACCAAGTCCCCCCTCAGCCTTCTCTTTTTCAGGCTGAAGAGTCCCAGTTCCCTCAGCCTATCCTCATATGGCTTGCCATGCAAGTCTCTGATCACACAGGTGGCCCTTCTCTGGACTCTCTCAAGCTTTACCATGTCCTTGTTAAGGTGCGTTGCTCATTGTACTTAGATGTGTTCACTGTACATAGATGTGTTCATTGTACTTAAGGTACAGTAGAAAAAGAAAAAAAAAATTTCCTATACTCCTCTGTTAGTTGTCATTTTATTATTTCAGTTTATACAATAAAAAAAATTTAAGAGGGTGACAACAATAGAATCAGATTTGTCCTAATTAAAAAGCTATCCCATTTAAATACATGGTTTCATCAAAACATTGCTAAACATTATACCTATGTATAAGCTGCAATCCAGCTATCTCAGTTGAAGCATTTGAGTCACTGTATTAACCCCTATAATTGTAAATGGAAAGGCATTTTCCTGTCTGCCACTGTATGAGACAGAACAGAACACTGTATGTAAGCAATCCAGGGCACTTAATCACTTCCTTAATACCTCAAATTGTAACTGACAGAGCAATTAAGCTGAATATTGCCCCAATATCCTATTAAAGTGACAGAATTTAGTTTAATAGAGGAAAGAATTGGTTCCTTGCTGATGTCCCATTAAAATGGCTCCCTTTACTATCTGGAATGGGAGTCCCATAGCTTACACTTGACAATGTGCAATAAGGAATAATATGGCATTGGTATAGCAAGGGCCTAGATGATGTAATACAATGCAACTTTTCCCATTCTGATTTCCAGTGATTATATTCTATTCCATTTTAAATGGATTTGGCTGTTGCTCTGAGAGATCATCTCTCAACCTCCTTTTCTCAAAAGAATACAGGTCTAATTTCTGTAAGTAAAATCTCTGTTATCAGTCTAGTCACCTTCTGTGGCACCCCATAAAATGTTACTATATCCATTTAAAAGGCCCTAGTTTTCCTCTTACTGGGCACATCTGGATGAGATGCTGACTGAGCAGTAGCCTGATACTACTGTGTGGTAGTGTCACATGACAAAAACCATGACAAGACATTACTGCACAGTAGTATCAGGCTACTGCGTAGTAGCATCATAAAAAAGGTGTTCACTAGCACTACTGAGCAGTAAATTGGGTCTTGCACATTTATTTAGTACTTGTTCACACAAGTACTAAATAAATGTGCAGTAACCACTGTGCAGTAGCATCTCATGTAGACACAGCCACTGAGTGCATCTACAAGTGCACTTTACAATGGAGTAGACTAATTAGCTCCACAGTGAAGCATTACTGTCTACATGTGCACTGGTATTAGAGTGCAGTAAACTAATTAACTCTATCATAAGACAATACTGTCAGGAATAGTACTGTCCTACAGTGGAGTCATTAAGTGTGATTAAATGCATGTGCAGATGGTGACTTCTGGGTACAAATTGTGCCTGGTCAGTGAAGCCAGCCAGGGTTCTGACCTCCAGTTCCTGCCACCTGATGCTGTCACTTGAAGCCTGGGGGTGACCCCCAGTGCCTTCTGACCCAGGCCTGCTCCATCTTGCCTTAAATTGCTGCTGTCCTGGGTGCACGTTTAAACGCTGTGCCCAGGAGCAGCTTCCTCCAGCTCAAACTGCTCCAAAATTTATTGCGTTGCATTAATAGCATGTGTAGATGCACTCACTCATTCCTATTTTACACTGAAGTAAATCCAGTGACTCAAGTAGGATTACTACTGATTTACTCCAATAAAACTAAGAAGAAGATTAATACAACAATTCCTGAACTGTTCGTTCCATTCTCCAATGGCAAGGTCACTAGAGATCTTTTACACAGACTTAAAGATGTTTCCCCCCACATTCTGATGGAAACAATTTCATATCTGCAATATCTGGTAGGCAAAAATCTTCATGAAAAGATGTATAATTTTGCCTTCATGTAACTCTTGAACCACAGTGCTGTTAGGAAACTACATGATGCAATTTTAAAAGAATTATACCCGCAGATATTTTTTCCAGATTGTCATGTTACTGTTAAAAATAAATTGAACTTAATTTTCTGCTTTTTTCCCCCTCATGTGCCTTGCTGGAATGTATTAGTATACATTTTGGCAATAATAAAGGAAAGATTTTTAAAAATATTTCTCTGAAGACACTTTGAACAGAGCTTTTGCCATGATACTTTCTCACTAAGTTGTATGGAATTCATGCCTGGGGGGGGAATATCAACTCTGCTGCATATTATGGAAAGGGAATGAATTGTCTTCTGTAAAAGTTATTCCCCTACATAAGCTGAAGAACAACATGCTGCACTAGACATGACAGGATACTCAGCATTTTATCCATCCTTCATATATTAAATTAGCAGATCCCTGTCAAGTTAAAATCATATTCTCTGTATGTTTGCACATATAATTAATTCTTCTCATAACTCTATTGCTAAACACATCTGTGACTGGTTAAATCAAATAGCAGTCTGATATCTATTATTTGCCACTTGTTAGTCTGCCTGTTTTGCTCTGTGCATTTCAATGGTTCTGTCTGTATGCTGAAATTAAATAAGAAAACACTTTCTTGCCTTTTACTCTGCTATGGAGCTGGCCAAAAATCAAGGTTTTTAGTTTGTTGATAATTCCACTGTTTTGCAATTTGTTTTTGGCCCAAATCAAATGGGAAGCAAGTTATTTTGAAATTTCCAGTGCACAAGAAGCTCCCCAAACCCTGAAGATAATGAAAATGTCAATGAAATCGGCATTTTGTCAATTTCACCATTAAAGGCAAGATTGTTAATTTCACTGAGCAACTAACTACAAAATACTTTCACAGTCCCTGACCCCTAAACAGACCCACCAAAGGGCTGCCTGGCAACCAGAGGCTTAGGACTTCCAGCATCCCCAAATCTGTAGAAGATACACCAGGAATCCAAGCAGGTCTCCATGCTTTAGGTTCTACAAACAAGTTTGTTGGACCTGAGATATTTCAAACAAAAATCTTTGGGGATCAACAAACTGGGCTTTTTCACTTTGCTTCATCAAAACATTTATGACAAGTCTAATTTTAGTGTTTTGTAAAATAAACCTAATCATCAGAATGAAATATTTATGGAATTATAAAATCTTACCATCCCTCACCTCTGTCTACTTCAAGGAAAAACATAATCTCTACTATGATTCAAGTTCAATGATGTGATTAAAGTTATGGGAGGAACTCAGTCCTAAGGAATTTTATGGTATCTGAAAGGTGAGCAAAGATGTAAAATGATGTGTCAGAGGTTATGGTGGCTGTGCAGGTATGAAATGGAAAGCTTTGTGGGTAAAAATGATGCTTAGGTAGACTTGTTTTCTGCACTGACATTATAATTTAAGCTTCCTATCTTGAGCCAAATACCTCTTCTGTGGAAATCCACTGGAGTTAATGGTGTTTTACCAGCAATAAAACTGGCCTACTGATTTTGGATACCAGATATTAAAGAATTATAACTGATGTAGATGATACAGTATTTTTATCATGTATTGAACAATGCTTATTCCTCCTATCCTACAACAAAGGCAGAGCAATTTAATCAAGCATAAAGGATAAAAAATGCTAAAAATGTCACAGAATGCCACATTTCCCTAAGAAGATACCAGTTATAAACCTGACCCTGCAGATTTAATGTTTTCACTTATATTGTAGATGCCAGACATTTGATTTGATCTCAGTTGAATCAACTTATTTTGCTATTTGCTCAGCATGGTAGAGCAAATGCTCCATTGTTTGAATAGGGGTCTAAGTAGGACCTTCCACATGTATAGGGTCACAAGCTACTGTTTATTTGATCTCCTTGATACTAATTCTCTCTGTCACCCAGAAAGTTCTCATTTGCTAAAGCTATGGTATCAACACTTGGACACTGCTGAAGTAGGTTGTATTTGAAGACAAGTAAGGATTCTGATCCATAGGATGGAAAATGGTTGTTCGATGCATGTCTCATTATAAGGCTACTCTGTAATTAAATTCCCTATGCACTGTTCTCCCTCTTTTATAAATATTCTCTTTGTACAGTAACATAAAAAACTCATTTTCCTTGTAATAAATTTAATGGATAGCAAGTAGTGAGCCTATAAAAAAAAGTAAGTAGCTCACTGCTTCCTATGTTCCCATAATCAGCCGAAACATAGACAATTGTTAAGGCTCTATATATTCATCTAAGTCAATGAAAGGGCAGGAATTCTAATGACAGACACACAAACATATATACAATGCCTGTACTCACAGCTTTCACAGCGATTCCCAGTGTAACCAGCCAAACAGGCACACTTATAGGCACCAGCTTTATCGAGAATACATGTTCCATCATGTAAACATGGGGATGAAGAACAAGCTGCAAAAAAGGAGCAAAAATATTCATGGTCTCTCACAGGGCAGGGTTCTTATCTACAAATGGCTTTCTGTATTACCTTCCACAATGATATTTTAGGGCCTCCCAAGTAAATTAGATATACAGGTTGAGGTCCCTAATGGACTTCAAAGTGTCCTCTGATTTTCTTTCTTACCTGCTGAAAGGAAGATCTTCTTAGGATGTGCAACTCCTTCCTTCTTGACGTCCACCTCCTGCCCCACATCACTTCTTTCTAGTTATGGTGAGATAGTGGAAAAGCTTTATTGAAGAAAATGAACTTCCAGCAAGCCCTGAAGGTGGTGAGACAGGTACAACCCAAAGTTCCCCATGAGTTCATTCTAGAGCTTCAACCCCCTCTACCTGAGTCACTTGAACTTTTGTCTCTCACCATCGGCCGCCTCACACTGCCACCATGGCAAGCCCTGTCCTCCACTCCGCGTCCAGCCACCGCCACGCCCCCCCCCCCCCCCCCCCCCCCCCCGCCCCCATCCTCCCACTCCACCAGAAGTGTACCCAGAAGGGGTACACTCCTTTAAAAAGGTTGAAAACCCCTGGTCTAAGGAGATCAGAAATTTTGGGCACAAATGAGTTTTGAGGTACGTAGTTACATATATGCATGTGCTACTGCCCCAATAACATGAGCAAGTGTAGCTGTGTAGTTGCAAGCACATTTGGGGGTATTAGGCCTTGCGTCAGCTCATTTTTAGTTTTATTTTTTTTAAATGTATGCTCAAAAGTACAAATAAATACATTTTAAAACAAATTGCTTAAAGTCAGTTCTCCCTAAACTTATCTGAAGAGATCTAAGTTTATGGTTCTCTATTTCTTCTATTATAGGTGAGGAAAATCACTAGCACGTAATGAGCTGTAGTACTAGCAATAATACTTCAAGTGTCACTAATATTATTTGCCAATGCAGAATCCAAGACAGGATTTCAAGTTAGCAGGAAGCAGTTAGTTTCCTGACCACAGTGGAAAACTTAAATCTGGATTCAGATTTGAGAAATTTTGAAGTCTGAGTAGTCTAGGGTCTGATATTTTGGCTCAGATCAGTCATGCCAAGGCAGACCAGAGCACATTCGGATCCAAATCAAAGAATTAGATCCAGTCTAGGCCTAATAGTAATAAAAATGCACTTAGCTTCCTTCAGGGATTTTCTAAGGCTTCATAATAATTTACTGGTTGAGCTTCTGTCATCACTACAAAAGGTTAAAAGAATAAATTCTCATTCACTTACAGATTACTTTTTCTTGCCAGCAATAAACAGATGTGTCATGTCATTGGCAAAGCAGCATGGATCTAAAGCTAAGCATCATTGACACCACCAATAAGGGTGTTCTACCTACTCAGTTGGACCACAGTCACAGATAGAGCAATCAGGTTCAAGATGCCATTAAAGAACTGTCCCAGAATGATGCATATCAGATCAGCTGTTTTCTTTGCAAGGTTTTTCTCAAAACAGGTTTCCCAACTCACTTTGATCCAGCTAGTAAAAGAGAAGCTGGACTCTGCTCAGAACACAAGAGCTAGATTTCTGACCTGGGTTTCATGGGGTGATGTAACAGTCATTCATAGTTTTGTTGGGCAGTGAATTCCACATCTAAAAACCTGACCAACCTCTTTGAAGTCACTGGAAGGGTTGTTTAAAGAGTGAATGAAGATAATTTGTTATTCTCCTCAGAGCACATGACCATTTTTGTTGTTTCCCACTCTTCTAAAGTACCATTAAAACAATGAGAGAAGATGTTGGGACCCAGGGAAGCACTGATACTCTGAAGTCAATGGGCTAAATCCTCTCAGTTGATGTCAACTTGTATATTTATGTACAGCTTCTCTCTTGTCACTATTTGTCCCCCAGTTTATTCTGTGGAGCCTGTTGTGACAGAAGAATGAGCATGGACAACAACTGTTGTCCTTATCAAGGTGATAAAAACTGAAAAAAAAATGTTTCTCGTATGTGGTTTAATTCACTAGTCACAAAAGGTAATTGCTTTGGTCCAGGGCAGGTCATTATTGATTTCATCAGCTACTGTGACAGTTGTGGGATTGAACTTCAGCAGCAGGTTCTTGTCAAGCCAGACACAGCATGTTTCTAATCTCTCACAGTTCACCGTGCCCTTAACAAATGTAGGACACAGGACACTCACCAGAATGCTCACAATTATCAATTTCTGTTTCACCTAAAGTATTACTCTTTCATGGCCACATGTGAAAAACATTGTGATGGTCTCTATAAGACTTGTGGTACCAACAGACTGGTTTCTCTGAACACTGAATTTAAGTACCATTGTAATCAATGGGAGTTTTTCCTCTGGGGAAGTAGGACTTGGTAATGTGCAATGCACTGTGCCCCACATAGTCCTCAATACCCGGCTAGGAGAGCTGCGTGAAAAATGTTTTTCATAACATTTTTTCTAGCCCCCCCCCCAAAAAAAAGGCTTCCACTTTTCATCTACACTTTGTTTTGACCGATATTACCCAAACTCACCTGAACTATGAAATCTATGAACTAGGAACTTCCCTGTACCATTCTCTTTCCAAGTAACCATATTCTATCCCAACTTGTCTCAGTTATAAATGTAGAGACAATCTAGTTTCTCTTTCTCCCTGTGGGATGTTGTATTCACATTGTTCTGTAAGTCACCACAAACCTACTGGGAATTCCCTTACCGTCCACAAGGGATTATCAAAGAGGGTCAACCACACACAGGAGTGAAAGGATTTATTCTGCTTATCTTACTTTAGCATGGTCCACCATCTTTCATATCTGAGGTCAGCTTAGGCATTTCCGGCAGCTGACGCCAAGGACTGGATTACACTTTATCCTTGACACACTGTGTGTTGCTGCACTCAGCTGGTTAACACCTGCTTCTAATACAGGCCGTTCATCTGGCTAAGCTGCTGCTTTTTTTAACTACATGCCCAATGGTCTCTCCTCCTGGGCCATACCCTTCACAGATTGCTTTATGTTTACCTAAGTGCGTCTGACCATTTGGACTGGGTCCTGCAATCGGTGTTATGATTTCAATCAGCATTTACATTTCAATGGGATCATGATTTCTTTGCTAACATGAGGGCACAGAACACAGGTGACCTGAGTACAAGTGCTCCACAGGGCTGAAGTGCGTGAATGAAAGAGGATCCCTGATGGCATGAGCCACTTTTTCCCATCTTCTACTCTTGATCTCCTCTACTTTGTTTAGACCATGGCAGCCTACAGAGCTATTCCAGAGCCTTGGAGCTGATTTCCTTCTCAACAACAGCACAGGTAACTAACTGATTGAGCCCTGCCTAGCCTATTCCATAGATATCAGTTACCATTCCCTGGGCCTTTGCACTGGGGAGGATTTCAGGAGCATGAATGCTGCAGCTTGTCATATGCAGACTGCATTTTCATCCTGTAGCTCCCCCCAGGTACACTATATTCTTCCCTTTAAACTGTGTTGTTGGCCAGGTTAATACTTCACACAAAGAGACATTGTGAGGGCTTTAAAAGCTTTGCATTTCAGCTACACATCAGGCCAGGACAGACTCACAATAAGGTGCACAATACAAACTCGAACCCCTTTGCATTATGCTCTGCATGGCTCACAATGCTAGAAGCCACCCAGTCTTTTTTAAAAATTGCTGCTAAAAGCAAGGCAGAAATAAAGGGCAAGACAACACTAGAATATTAACAGATCCCTGCTGAGCAGGGAAAGCAGAATCAATTCATCCTGCTCCATATGGAAAATGTTAGCCCCATGAATGTAGGCGGCCTTATGCAACATACCCCACACCAAGTTAATTTTGTGAAAGCAAAGTTTGTTTTTCATCAGCTCTCCCATTAACAGAGTTCTAGCTTTCAAAACCGAACAGCTCTCACTATTGCATTCTGATACCTGGTGTTTGTATTCTAGGTAAGAACAGATAGCTAAGCAGGGAGACTATGGGTAATCTGCCACTTACAGATATGTAAGCAGCAGGTCAGCCTGTGTGTATTCACTTTTTAGGTGGCAGCACCCCTGATTGTTAGTAATAGCTGAATCCCAATAGATATGGGGCCAGGGCATGGTTTGCATGCTTACAAAAGGACTGTATAAACCCAGAGCACTTCTTCAACCAGGCTTATACCCCATGTGCTCATGTTATATCTGGGCCACCACAGTGTAGTTGGGAACCCATATGTCTTACTGCATGCAAGACCTGGCAAATCCTTGTGCCAATTGTGATGAGTCATGGATCCCGTAGATATCTATAGCAAACCAGCACACCCTGTTCAGCCTCTTCTGCCAGGAAACCTATGGACAGATTTGGCAGACTTACCCTGTAAAGAAAATTATAAGAGAAACGGGCAGCCCACTACTGATCAGAAGGTCAAACCAAAACTAGCAGCATGCCTAGTGTTTCTTTGCAGTCAGGCAACATCGGCAGGCAGGGGAAACACCATGTATCTGAGTCCAAAAAGGCAGTTTTCCTTAAGCATTCCCAGGGATAGCTGTTCTTCTGGCGTGATTTAGTACCTGCTGAGGTGCTGGGACTTAAAGCCCACTTTATGGAAATGGGAGGCTCCTCCCTAGCTTGCTCCTGGGCTGAGGGCAGATGAAACTTGGGGGCATATGAACCTCAAGCCTCTGGGCTTGGGCCAGCACGTAGGATGCCTGCCAAAGACACGGGAAATATCTGAAGCCCTTGTGGGGGTGGAGGACATTTGCCAGTTGTAGGGCCATTTATGGTTCTGGACTGACTCACAGATTTGGACTTGATTTTGCTGATTTGGCTTGGAACATGAAAAATTTCTTTAAAAAAAACAACAAAAACATGGGCAGGTAATAATGCTGAGGGGAAAATGCTATCCTACCTTAAGATCAGACCAAACCTAATTTAGTAACAAATAAACTGGAATTTTGGAACCCACCTACTTTCAATCAAATATTCAGCATGTCTCATAATTCTCTAAAGCAGAGAAAAAAACTTCTGTTTGCTATTTTTCATGGGCAGATTCCTCTGTATCGCCCCTGCATGAAAGGGAGTCTTTTTAACACAGACTTCTAATAAGAAGAAAGGTAAAGCAACAAAAATAAATTGATGGAATATCAGAACATTTTCACAGGGGTACTCCTCAGAAATGCAACATGTTTCTACCATTCAAATCTGTTTTTTTCTATGGCTTATCTCGAGCAATTCTATGGCTGCACAGAGCTATGTATGCAACTTCTACTTCCTTCTATGTTCCCAAGTTTATGGTGTAGTAGAAAAACTATGGATGGGTGAATGAGTCATTAACCCCATGAGCCTATTTAAAGGGGACACATGAATAGTAGCTACTCCTACCAGCCCAGCAACTGACACTACCCCTGATATCCAGAGATTGCTCATTATGCCTCTGATGCAGAAAGAAACGTCACAGACCCAGAAAACTGCATCCCTAAACTGCCAAGATCAGATAGATCTTGATGGGCTATCATTAATTTTAGCTCCATTTTAGTAAACCATAGCATGGTTCTGTACCCTTCCCTGCACCTACTTCTATAAGCGGCTGTTGGCAACACAGCATGAAATGTTTTAACGAAGCAGAATGGAGAAGACAATTAGTGAGATTGAATTAATGAGACTAAAGTACAGTGCTCCAGTTTTTGATTTGCTTACCTGTAATTTCTTCAAAGACGGCATGAAATCCATCAAAATTCTTGGATCCATCTGACTGGAAAAGAACATGAAGAGAATGTCCACTGCTCCAGATAGGGGGAGGCCTGTCATTGCCACAGAATCGCTTAATTATCTGGCTATCTATATTGTCCCCATCACGGATTTCCACATAATCATACTGGCACATGTAGTCAAACTCCAGGCTCAGCATAGCAAACCTAGAGCAAAAAGACATGAAAATCAGGATGGAAACTCTTTCACCTGGCAAGATTGCCCCTGTAATTTAGTGGTGTCTCTATTATCCCTGGCTGCTTGCCTTAGTCGCTCCTCCATTCATCTTGAGTTTCATACCATGGTCCTAGGAAGCTAAGCCTGAACATCTTTTTAAAAGTTCTCAGGTACCTTTAGAAGACAACTGAACAGTGCCTTGCAGCTCCCTGGGGACAGGCAGGTGGTGCTGTAGTTAAATTTGCCTAAGAAATTCTGTTTTATTCAAAGACATCAAGGTCATCACAGTATAGTACTGATATTTCTGTCCCAGAGGGTCAAATGATGTAGGTAATTTCTCTGACCATTTCAGAAAATATCTCTGTTTTACTCTGCAGCATCCTAAGCATTGTAAATAATGGCAATAGCATCACACTTTGAGGACATTAGCTCTCTGAAAGCTCTAACTGGCTTCATCTAAAAAGAAAACAAGGCATAGGAAGGAGCCAGACCCAAACTTAACTTAGACATTACTTGTGCTGCTTCTAGTGTTGCATTCAACAGTTGAAAACTGCAGGTATGGGTCAATCAGAAACCAGATGGAGACATAAGGAAGGAACACAAAGGATACAGAGTTCATATCAGATCAGAAGACAAAACAGAAGCTGATTGTCAGCAGCCACGACTTACAGCTTTCTTGTCTTGGTAGTGAGCAGGGACAGAACTTAACACAAAAGGAAGTATCGGAAGGCTCTTACCATAAACCCCCAACTTTCCATCTATCCTAAGCAAAGCTCCCGCTGGTTAATAACAATATTATATGCTGCTGTTGTTGCTAGCAGGGCACAGTGCCAGAATATTCAAACAGAATGTGAATGAACAGCAGACAGAGCTAATAAGTGCCTTTAGAGAATGAGCAATTTCCCGGGGTGCTGTGCTCTGCTTAGTTGTACAGAGTGAAGGATTAAGAGATCTGCATCTGGGAGCTTGCCATGCCACTACCTGCACTGAAGAACGTTTTTTAAAAATGAATCTTTAATCTTCCCAGTCTCCCTGAAAAATCTTGACTTTGTAGACCATGTTTATTTAGGTGATATAAAAGATCAGACTGCATCTTTCAATGCAGCCTCTTCAAAGGTGGGCTTGTAGCTTTGGAAATTCCACATTTTTTAACTGAAAAGGGCAAAATTCATGATCAGTCTGGATTCACAGCAAGAGCCTACAGCAGACAGGAGAGTACAACAGCAGATTTTCCCCAATTGTCCTCTTCTGAGCACCACCTCAAGATCACTTTGAAGCATGCTGGAGATGCAGCTTTCAGGGGCTGCTGCTTCACTGCTGCATTTCTAGGTTTGGCATATGAGAATGGGAGCGGGTGGGCATAGCATGCTTGGGAGTGATGCAAGAGTTTGGCAAGGGTGCAAGAGTTCATGCCCAGGTTCAGAGCATGAAGAAGCCCATGTTACATAAGACATGATTGATTCCTATCTAAACCCACCATTCTTATCCCCCCGCACCCACCACCACCAGAATAGCAAATGTACTCACTTGCCCCTCTTTGTTCAGACTGCATCATTGTGTCTGAGTACTAGGGGACAAACCTTAGCTGAAGTAAATTCAGGAAATTCAATGGAAGGACCAGTTGAATGGAGCCAGGCCAATTTATGCCCACAGGGGTGATGGCCTCTGTTTTCATATGGGGCTACTAGAATACAGATTAGATAAAATTACATCTGCTTTTAATAAATATTAGATGTTAATTCAACTCAGCTTTACATAAACTGTATGAGTAAATTGGTGAGACCAAATACCTGTTCTTTGAGGTTTCCCCGAAATTCTATAACTTCCCTGCAAGATACAAGGTACAAACCTTACATCTTCAACACAAGCTCTATTTGGTTGACCAAGTCCCAGGGATCTCTGAGACTTACACCAAGTTAGTCCATCATGCTCCTCACACTTCTGAAGCTCTGTTAAACTACTATGACCCTGATCCTACAGTACAAACTCTTGTTAGCTACTACTCATCTGCTTAACATTAAGTATGCACATAATTTTTTACACGTTCTGAGCCTTAGAGCCCTATTTTCAGGTAGAGAGGGGGAGGCACATTCATGTAACAGGACAGAATTAGGCTCATAATAACACATATTTGTTTAGCATTATCAGTGTAGACAACCTAGATCCCTAGCAATTTACATTACTGAAAATGCAGCAGTGTAAATAAAAGTAAGGGCTATTGGGAAAATTCTGCATTGGACACATAAAAGGCTAAATCAGTCATACTGGTCTTAGCTTATCACTCCTTAACTATCCTTTCTGGAAAGATGAATTGATTTACATTTTTTTTAATACTGGAGGGAAGCAAACATGAAACTCGAGGGACAGAAGGATTCATGGAAAAGGTACGTGGCTAGTGGTTAAGAGTCTTGGCAAAGGATTTTCAAAAGTTCTCACTAAGGGATAGACTCTGCTCTCAATACAATTAACAGAACACTTCTGAAATCTTGGTAGCTGCTGCTGGCCAAGAAACAGTTACGAGCAAGTTACTTAACTTCACTTTCCTCATCTGTATAATTAGGGCTATTTCATTAGCTCCTGTGAGAGCTAAATTCATTAATGTTGCTGAAGTGCTGGAGCTCCTTAGCTAGAAAGAGAGTGCAGAGTCTGGTTATTATTTGATTTTGTTAACAGCGCACTGAGAATATGTATATCAACTTCTCTGGGGAGAGCTAGTGGCCAAAGAAAAGAATGATTTAAAGATCTCTCTCCGCTGGAGCATTAAAGAAAATAATTGAGAGTTGTGTGTTACCTACACAGTTATATTACATCCTTTGATGTGACATGGACTATGGAGGCATGATTCAAATTAAAGAAAAATGAGGCTGGAAAACAAATGATTGCAGCAATCCAGATACCATTTATCAAAGCAGGCCCGCTCAGCCAAATCCCCCAGGACAGTGTGGTACATCTTGAGTCAAGGAAAGATTTATTTGTGTTCTTGAGAGTTTTGCTTTTCCTGCCCTGTGAGATTAGGGTAGTATATAAAATGTGCTAGGTCCCCTTTTTGCTTCACTCAGGCACAGGCACCAGCTCTCACAAGCCATCAGTAAGGCAGTCACACAGGATTCACTGGGGATATACAGAGAACACACTAGAATAGAGGTCTATTGTAAGGAATTGTGCTGATTCAGCAATCTACTGGCAAATAGTTAAAGCTATGAGCTGAAAGATCCTACTTGTTTGTATAGAAGTGAAATGAGTCCAAAGATCTGCATATGGATAGCAGGGAAAGGGGGAGGTTTTGGTGAAGTTTGTGAGTCTTCTGAAGTAGGAGTCTAAGTTCATTAAACTCCCCTTACAGACATTTTTATCCTAGCTGCTACATCATAGCAAGCAGTGGTTTAGTACTGAATTTACTCAGCCTTATGGGGAATGGCAAAATAGAAATATGACCAAACTGGCTGGAAGGAAGTTCTCGTGGTAAAATCCATATCTGCTCAAATCACATGTTCTATAGCCTGTGACAATAATAGATGTAATAGTGAATCACACAGAGGAATTCCTATGTCTAGCACAAGGTTCTGCCCCTGGAGAGAGGCATTGGCCAGTGGTCTTGGTGGTACAGTACCCAGCAGAGTTGACTCATTGATTTTGTTCATCATGCAGTACAATGAAGTTACGTTAGAAACAGGTGCTTCATTTCTTCAGCAGAGAAATTTAAGATTGCATAGCACATTAAGCAAATGTTAACGGCCTGCTCTAGTATTTCTCTTGAAAACTTCTGTGCCAGCTTTCTATTATTCTTTTACCCAAGGGATAGCTGTTATGTGAATCATAGAATCAGAGGGTTGGAAAGGACCTCATGTGTCATCTGGTTCTA